AGCCAATAGACCCAGCGGGCTGCAACCAGTGTAAGCAGGCAATCTCAACCAAGAACTGCCGTGGCTGTCGAATGTTGAGACCTGGCACCATTCGGCGGATTGAGGTTCAGAAAGATTAATCTGGGAAGAACACAGCCCACGATTCGGGATACCTGTGTGGGCTTCAAGCCAGCGGCTCTACTACATGGTGACAGGAACTGTCAGTGTTGCTGTCGGTTTCACCCTTCGTTCCTGAAGTTGGGTCCGTTAAGGCTTGCTAGAGTGACAAGAGAGCCGTTGTTCAGGGAACTACCCCCGTCCTTCCAGCCTGGCCCCCTGCAGCAGACCATCTTGAGATCCAATTCCCGACAAGCGAGAACTACGCAACTTCAGTCACCTTTGTGAACATACACCCTGCGTCTCTCAACCCTGTTGTTCTTCACACCTAGAGCCCCAGAGCCTAAGCGGGTTTGTAGGATGGGTGAGTAGGATAGGGCTCTATTGGAAAGGGGAGACTAGAAGCACAGCTTATGCCACAGCAGGTGGTGCCAGAGTCGCATCCATGGCCTACAGGGAAGCTGGGCTTCGACATTCGAAGGGTGAGGTTTCGGAGTTCAGATTTTGGGGCCCCAAGGAACAGGTCAAGGAGACCTGGGCGGCTCGAGGGCTTACGTCTTCCAGTTTTGGAGCCAGCGATTCAAGTGCCAGAAGTGTCCCAAGATGTGAGCGAGAGTGACGAAACATGGTGAAGTCGTGTGAGTGCAAGGAAGGGTTGGGATCGTGACGGTATGTGGGCTGGGCTCGTCCTCCTCCTCCTCCTCCTCGTGGGACTTGTTATGTGTTCGTCGTTACACTTCGGCTCCTACCGGATGTGGTCGGTGCGAGGACGGTGGAGACATGTTTGCTATTCTTCACTGCAGGCGAACGTCGTGGCCTCCATCCTCTTCTGCTTCTCCTCTTTCCTCTTGACGCTGCCGCTCACTTAGCCCGCTTGCTCTGAGCTGAAGGGCATGTGCACTAAGCCACTAAGCAAGGCACGCTTCTCGCACTATTCCATGTAGGATCACGCATGAGCACGACTCAAGATCAGCTCATGCAGCCTTTAGATTACAAAGAGGAGGTGGCAAGGGTGTTGTTGAGATCTCTGCTGAAAAGCTTGTCGCACTGATTCTGCGTTCGACAGCGGCATGATAGCCCCAAGAGAAGATGCCGGCGATAGCGCTGCAGGAGTGACACGGCGAGGAACCACATAAGACAGCAGTGCTGCAAATCATGGCAAGACAAACACACACACACACATTAATGATTCTTTGTGAGAAGTCAAGCTTCCCATGTTTCGCTGAGGCGCCAATCTGGTTGCTCTGGAGGAGCAACGATACAACACTGCTTTGGCATTGGCAGGGCTCCGGAGTCTGAGGGGTAGGCTGCGGCCTGCATATAAATATTAGAATATTCCGCGGGGTGACCTGATGAGTCTGTTGCCTTCGAACCTCAGACGATGGTTTGGAGATCTTTTATTGTTTGTTGCACAGCTTTCTTTCGAGCAGAGATTTCCGGCTTACGTTGATTCAGTACTGCTACATGTACCTATACTCTCCGCAGGGTTTTGAAACAGATGGCTTTGCCGCATAGGGCTTTGCATGGTACGGGTGTTTGAAGGTCTCGTTCTTATGGGCTTTCGCGGCATGGCGGCTAGCGGCCGGAAGTACGTAAGCTTTGGGCTCATTGATTCCGTGATTTTGAAAGCAGAGTAGTAAACAATACTTGAGAACAGCAGATCAAGTTGGATGCAAAGATGATAGCATATAGTGGCATACCGCTGTGTGCAACAATTCTGTTAACGGAGCAGTACGCATATGTTTATACTCTCAACAGTATGCATGAAGGCAGCTGGGAGCTGCACCTGCAACAGCTGCAATGACAGGTTGTAAGGCACAACTTTTCCGCCGTTTATCGTATCTAATAAAGGTCACATAACAGGGCCATGCCTTCTCAGCATGAGATTGAGGTGCAATGGGGTATCGTAAGGCTGTAGTATACATAGATATCAGTGCACATAGTGCACATAGCAACGTGTGAAGATAGGCAACTACAGAAACCTGTCAAATGTGCAACAGGTTACATGTTATAGCAATGCAGAATACACAGTTACAGAGGGACAGGGAGGGAGAGGGAGGGAGAATGAGGGCGAGAGAGAGAGAGAGAGAGAGTGTGTGTGAGAGTGAGAGTGAGAGTGAGAGTGAGAGTGAGAGTGAGAGTGAGAGTGAGAGTGAGAGTGAGAGAGAGAGAGAGAGAGAGAGAGAGAGAGGGAGCTACGGCGGTTGGACGTATTTGCTAGGGAAAGCTGTTTCGTTCATCGACTGTGCAGATACATTCGGCTTGCAACCGCCATGTGGTGATGGCTAGTACACACAATCTAGAAGCTTGTCGGGTATATTAGAAGAGCCCAGCGCAACAAAGGCAATAAGCAAGTAAATGTATGCATGTGTGTGTATATATATGTACATATATGCAGATGTGTATGCATAAATGCTTGTATGTATTATTAAATGCTTGTATGTACCATTACATGTATGCATACAGGTTTATGACATATCGAATGCGTCATATTGCTGAGACCCCGGATTAATTTGGGTCCAGAAGAGCGTCCTTCCCTGGACGTCTCAATTGGAGCCAGGGCTGTGTCCTGCAAGACACAGCAGGGGTGACTTTGGTCAGCTTTCCTGTGCTTTCCTCGTTCCCGTCTTAAAGACTCCTCGGAATCTTGAAACTGGAAGTTACGGTTTAAGCTTCAGGCTAAAACTTCCATCCGTCAGAAATCCGCATCTGCAGATTCTGTAGAGTCTTTACGTCACAATTGCCCTCTGTCAGGCCTTGTTTTTGAGTCTAGGCCTGAGAAATCTTTAGATTTCTATTATAGGCGGACGCATGCCATGCGCGCTACAAGTCGAGGTTTCTCAAAGCACTGTAAGTCCAACAGTGCGTACGGCGTGCTGCCGTGTGCATGTGTGCCCAAACTTGCAGAGAACCCTACGCCCTATGCCCTACGACGTTGAGCTTTGAGCCTTCGGCCCTTCGTCATCACTGCTAGGCACTTTGTTCGATTGATTGGTGGGTAAGCAGCTACAGCAAGCACAACTTACAACGGACAGTGTTATGTCGACGTAGTTGAATGCCTGTGCATCTATTCGTCAGCAAGGGCATGCGTCCGTCCAAGTTTCCTGGGAGATCCCGCAAAGCTTATCAGACTTGTTAATTTTTGCGCCTGTGGCGTGCGCAGCTTCGGATCAGAGCCGTCGGCTGGATACCGCATGTCCGATGCTCCGAGTACCCGGCTAACTTCATCCAGCTTCTGGTATTTTAGGAATAGCCTTCCCTTATAGTTCACGTAGCGATATACCAGAAAGCCCTACTCCACAGTCAAACAGGGGTCCAAGTGTGGGGATGCCGGCAGGCCGACCAGCCATGCCTACAATGTCCTAAACGAAGAACCGTATCACGCAAAAACCCCCGACACCCTTTCTGTTTCTGCCAAGCATAGAACAACTTTTGGCGGAGATCAAACTTGCTTTTCTGGTTGGCGTTTCTACGGTGGAATCTTATACTAACAGGAAGCAAGAGGCGCAGTCGTTCATATCCAACCACAACTGCACGACAGCATGGCTCCCGCACGCCCAGATATGGATCACGAAGACTCGCGACAAAAGCGCAGCTTCATGGTACCGAAACCGTCAGCAAAATGTTCAACAGCCTGCACCGCCATGCGTTTGATTTCTGCTTTCCGAGTCTCTAGACAAACTCCAACTTGCCTCTCCAAGGTCAAACGTAGGCCGTTAAGCGATACAACGTCAGACGCGCGTAGATGGCTGGCTACGACATTGTCCACTCGTGCCTGTGTCAAGGAAATGACTCTGGACACCTGCCAAAACGCAAACATAGCACCATGTGAAGCCCATACTTCCTCATGTTGTTGGACGGACCGTGGCTGCGGTTCTGGGGGCTTCGCTATCCTCGCTGATGAGGATTTCGAGCCCCTTGTAGTTATTCCGAAAATTTTTGCGACAACAACCAGTGATTGTAGCAATAAGTTTTAAGTGTTATATTGCTGCTGCACTTAAACAGCCTCTCTGCGTAGCAGACCTGGATGGAAAATAAGGTTTTCCTGCGACAAAACTCGAATGCTCTTCACCAGGACCATCCAGCCTCGAAGCTTAATCCATCACACCCAAAGCCCGGAATCCTAAGCCCTAACCCCTAAACTCGGACAGCTGGTACACGGAGCCTCACCGCCACTTCTTCTCGAGTGTTCCTTCTCTGCTGTCGATTTTTGTTGATAGGCGCTCGGGCCTGGAGATATGTACTGTCTTGACCAGGAAACCCATTGCCTCAAGAGGACCCCGGATCTAGAACAACTCCAAGAGGCAGCCAAGGACCACCCGGGGCGGTTTCAATCTCTTGCTGTTTTGAACCGCATTTGAAGAGTTTTGGCATCTTACTTTCTGGACCACTTCACAGTTTGAATCGCCTGTTCTGAGTGGCTATGGCCGCTACGACATCCGTGACGAACGGCATCGCCTCGAGTCAAACAATAAAGTAGAGGAGTCCCCAGTGCTGGCAGAGGGGACCTTGCGTCTCGTTTTATGGAGCAGCAAAGCATTGCACGCTTGGCCACCGGCCTACATTCAACGTTTTGGCCCATCTTGGCTCCAAGGCTGACTCCATGATTTATGCATCAGCGTCAACGGCTAAGGATGTCAAGAATATCTCAGAAGTCTTCTAGTCCAACGTAGACGGGCAATCGCAGAGACATCGGTGGAATCGGCTCAAAAACTTGAGGCCCACTCGGTGGCCGTGTCTTGCACATTGTCGTTTGAGAGGCTGCAGGCATTTAGGATTCTCGGTTCAGTGTATACCTTTTTCACAAGCCTTTGTGGTGCTTGTCTGCGTTAAAAGAATCTCTCTCCCCCGGATTCTTGAAGAAACACATGCGGTTGTTTCTTGCTTGCAGGCTCTCTTCAGCCATGCCTGCCCTCCAGCTTTCTGCGATTGCTCGTCCCGACTGGGTCAGCGCTGCTGCCCGAGCCCTACAGGGGGGGATTTCTAGGCCCTAGGCTTTCGGGAAATTCGGCGGGTTCCGGGGGCTACTTCTTCTAGGCTTTCGGGAGTGTGTTCTGAGATGTGACGAGTCTTTGATGAAAGAGCTCTGTGCCATTTTTTGGCCCGCCAGTCTGTGTCAGGAGCAGCGTCTCTATGCACTCCTTACGACCGGCCAGCCTGCGGCAACTGCAGTCGGACCCTCAAAGTTGCGGAGGGAGGAGCAAGCTCGGGTTTCGTTTCGAATTGGGGGTTGATCGGTTTGGCTTGTGTAGGGGTTGATGTTTCGGAGCACCTCTTGACTTTGGGTATTGGGCTTCAAAGTTTAGGGCTTACTACAGTATCACGTCAATGGGTTCCGATGGCCTGCACTGTAGCATTCCGATACATCAGGTGGACATCCTCGTGGNNGGGGGGGGGGGGGGGTTTTATGGCTTTGGCGGGTGTAGGGGGTTCATGTTTCAAAGCACCGCTTGACATTGGTTTTTAGTTTGAGGCTTACTACAAGTGTAATCCCTGTATAAGAGCCCCTATCCTAAGGTTCGTATTTTCCATTGCCTCTGGTTGTGCCGGGTGAGCAGTTCGGGTAGACTAAGGTTCTTAATCACGTTCTTATCTAGACGCAGCG